TGGAGTCTGCTGGACCAGTGGGGCCATTCATTTCTCACTAGCTCCCTGGTTTCTGATCAAGCAAAATACTGACTTCAATGGGTTAAAGTTAAGCATGCGCTCAAGTGCTACGTCCTGTCACCACATAGTCTCCCTAAGTCCTGACATGGACTCTAAAGTCATGGAAGGAATTGCTGAATTACAGCATTTATGCATCATTCAGGGCTCAGACTACTCCTACAACTACTAGATGTATTTGTGCAGTGTTTGAGAGTTCTGCAGTCTCATAATGGACAAGAAAATGGGGTAAAATTGTATCAAAAGCAACGTTAATGTGTTCCTATTTGGAAGAGTGGAGAAAATCAGAAAGCCAGACCAGCCCAGAAAGTTTGGCTGAGGCTTGAAACCATTCTATTTGGAAAATTTTAAAAACCCTTTCCAGGATTGCTTGTCATTTTTATTTATGTACAGTACCTCTATTTTTTTAAAAACCACCAGAATCTGGTTTTTCTTAGTATCAGTCAGTTTATCTGAGCAATGGGGGAAAAAAGATTACAGCAAACTGTTAATTAGAAAGGAAGGGGTTTTTTTCTTTCTGATTTTTTGTTCAGGAAAAGATGTATGGGAAACAGAAAATGTAACATGGTATGTATTTAAATTACTTTGGGGGTTCTTGTTCATTAAAGTTCATTTCTGCTGCTCATAGGAAGTGTCACTGACAAAATTCTATGAACAGCATTATTCCCACTTTAACAAGTAACATCCCAAGATTAATGAGTCCTTTATACACAATGAAGAAATATGATTTATTATTGACAGCAGTGTCACTGTAAAATGGATTTTGCAAGATTAAATATATAAATAAGGATTGTTGATGACCTGCAGACCAGTTTTAATCACAATATAATTGGTGCCACCAGTTCTAATTATTTGAAATATTTTTAAACTTATGACAATTAAACAACTGGATCTCCTTCGTTCCCTCTTCTGATTCTAACAATTTAAATGTTCAAAATTTAGCAAAAAGTGATTATCTTTGCTAAATAATTATCAGGACTGTCTTTGAAAAATAGATTGCCTCTATCTCCTTTTCTAAAATATTAAAATATGCAAAAGCAAACATCAGTGTAGCCAAAAAAGTAGGCACCGTTGCTAAAAGAAAACCATTGTTGCGGAAAGAAAACATCCACAGCCAAGCTGCCCGGAAGCAAATAATGAAAAGTAGGCAAATGACCAATCAAATAAATACACCCATGAAGACTATCCTCCCCATGCTCCAAGAAATCATAGAATTGAGTGAATTCCACATACCCAGGCTCCCAAGCCATAGTGGACTAAACTGAGTCAGAAATGCAATCTTTATTGGCTAGCTTAGATGAAATGTCTATCTCTTTCCAGGAGCAGTTAAGATTTCCTCTTTCTGAACCAAAGGCCACATCCTGCTTCGTAGGCCTTGAAAAAGTTATAGATCATTAGTGGTTTTCTACTGAAAAAGCCATTGCTCCTGAGATAGATACTAGGATTGGCTAGGGCTTGTGGAGTTCTGAGAACATGACTCTTGAGGAGTGAGTGGGCAGACATTTTTTGGTGGAAGGGGAGCAGCACAATAAACTCTGTCTAGAGCAGTCTTGATTTCTGGCTTTATTTCCCTGAGAGAAAAAAACCCTGAATATTTAGATTTCAGTGCTTTTTTCATACATCTTGCAGAATTCCTGTTTCCTTACAAAATCTTAAGCTCAGTAATGCACTAAAATTGTTTTATTTTCACTTTTAGAATGAGTCTTTTCAGGTTGTGGTACTGGTAGAAATACTCTGTTTCACTGTACAGCTGTAAAACCAACCTCTTTAAGGGGGGATTTGAAAGGAGCTATATAGGGTTCCCAGGTGTCCAGTATTGACCCAGACAGTCCGATATTTTCGCCTCCTGTCCGGTAAAAAAATTCCGAAAATACTGGACACCTAAAATGTCTGGTATTTTCTGATTTCTTTCCCCTGCCACGAGGCGAAAATACTGGACATTTGGTAACCCTACACACACTCAGCAACTGGGCCCAGCCCCTGTCCCCGGACCTCCTGCTTACCTGGTTCCGCAGGGAAGCTGTCTTCTGGCTCCGATCAAGAAAACAAGATGGCTGCTGGCAAAAAGCCTAAAGACTTTTCTTAACGGGGCCATGCTGTTTTAATGATGTTTTATTTATTTGTTTGTTTTTGCTTAATAACTCTCGGGGTCCTTTTTTTTTCTCAACAATTTTGGTTTCCCCCTTTTTTTTCCTCAGCAGAATTTTTTCCCCAGTGTTTTTTTGGGGGGAGGAGGTGTTCAGTATTTTTCGTTAAGCCATCTGGCAACTCTAGCCATAATAAAGGTAGTCCCTAAAAACACAACTCTGGGGCCAGATAGAAACATGAACTGTGTAGCTGGAGTGAAGGTACCTTGCACTGATTTTCTGAGGCAGCCCTATAGTGGGAGATTGATGGGAGAAACACTCCCACTGACTTCCCTTACTCCTCACAACAGCAAGGAGTACCAGCGCTGACAGTAGCACCCTTAGCATTCAATTTAGCAAGTCTTTACTAGACCCACTAAATCGAACCCTGGAAGATCAGGTGACAGAGTAAGCCAAGGGCTTTCCATCTAAGTGGCTCCTGCTTATCCCAGAGAGCTATGCAGATCATGGACAATCCATTGGTTAATGGGAATGGAGCCCCCAACTTCTTTTGCAGAGGAGAATCGCCATCTGCGTTCCTCCAGCTTGTAGTATTTCCTTTCCTTGTGAAGGTTTTCCCTTTAAATAAAGACCTTAAGTAAGGATTTCAGGGTCTGGCACTATATACAGTAGTGATCAAACTTCATTGATTTTGACCCATAGGAAGAATATGAAACAGGAGGATTGCAAGTGCAGTGGTTAACTCACAGCCAGCTATGTCATGATTTTTTATTTCTTTCCAATAATACATTCTCCCTCAGCCACAGCACAAAATTGCTTTCCATTGGGTGTGCCAAACTGATTACCCACGCATCTGAGATAAAAAGAATTCTTTAGAAGTTAATAACCAAGATTTAATTGTGTGATGAAAGGCTACATTCAGAGGTCATGCTGCTAATTCTCTTGTCACTGATTCCAACAGATAAATGTACAATCCAATTGCACGTGAAACTACAGAGAAATATTATATTAAAATTGATTGACATATTTCCTGGTTCAAAAAATGTGTTTATTATATCGCCTGTGGTTGATGATTTTACATTAGAATTAAGTTCACCCGTATGTTTGACAACTTCTTATATTTCAGTACACACAGTACTAATCATGTCTGGTTTTAGATTTGGCTCAACTGCCAATCCTTACCTAAATTACAAAGAATGGAATAAATACAAAATTAGAGACATTTATAAGTGATAAAACATTGTCTGACTTAAGTGCTTTGAATGCTCCACTCTGAAAATTACTGACATCAAATATATATTTCTGGAAAACAATGGGTAAGAAAGTTGATGATGCTTAAAATATTTGTTTAAACCCTTAAACAATACTTGCTAAATAATTTAGCTAATCATACTGAGTACACAAATAGCACCCAGAGTGAAGTGTATGGTATAAATGCTGAGAGAAAGATGTATATGGTATATATAGTGGGTGAGCTACAAAAGAAATATTTACTTTGCTGGTTACAGGTTGAATCTCTCTAGTCTGGCACTCTTTTGTCCAGCAACATCCGAGGTCCGGCATGATTTTACATAGCTGGAGGTCCACTTATCATGGGTGTGGCCAAGTTTCCCACAGTCTCGTAAAGCTTTTTTACATCCACCAGTCCTGGCTCTCAGTTTTCTGTGCTGTCATTTATTTCTAATTTACCCCTCAGTGTCTTCTAAGAGCCCAGTCATCAGTGGACATGCTGGTAATGCTGCTAGACAAAACTGACTTCCTGTTGGGTCGGCAAATTCTCTGGTTTGGCACCTGACAGGTCCGAAAGGTGGCAGACTAGAGAAGTTCAATAAAGGGGGCTGAGCTACCTGTCTGGTCTTTCATACCACACTTATTACAATGCTATCCGAATTCCTTAGGAATTCTAGAAGTAAACATAAAGGATATTGCTCTTGTTGAATTTGTCTCTAAAATATTCATTGTTGAATGACTTGAGTGCCACAGAACACATACTCTTCAGACTGCCTGAAGCATCACCACCAAAACCCTGTGTTGATCCAACAGTCACAATAATAACTGCAATGTATACCCCCTCCCCTTTCCTATAAACACACCTGATCTAATCATTGCATCCATTTTTTTATGCTCCTCCCGTCTCCTTAAAGCTCTGATTCTTGTTTTCCATTGTACACTGTGGAGTGAGAATAATTCATGCCAGCTTGAAGCTGGTTTAAGTTGTGCACCAGTTATACTGCTCCACCGGCTCATTTCTGCTGGGTTTGGTACCACGCTCTTTTCCTGTGGCCACAGTCAAATTTACATTGACCTCACCACCTCTTTCTGCACATGGTGACAGACTTGCCGGGGCTCAGATGGTTTGCCATGGGATCTCATTTGCTGCACATTTGTGCAGGAGCATTCCAGGCAGGATTTTGGGATGCACTTTGCCCATATTTGGGAGCACATGGGGCATTTTGTCCCTTTTCTCACTGCACATCGGGAGGAACAACAGTCCTTGCAATCTAACACAGTAAAGTCACATTGAGATGAGGGAAATGGTTCCTTTCTATATCTAGTGTACTTTATATCCAATTTCTAGATCTTTGTCCGATAGACCTGCAGTAGCCAGAGCTATTTTGTGCCATCCATATGTAAGCAGCATTCCCCACTGAAATCAAAGGTGAGTTCTGCATAGACATGGATGACAAATATAGCCCGTAGGAGCCACTTTCTTTTCCTCTTGAGTACCCAAAAGAGACTCCTAGCTTCCAGCCACTTCTGGGCAGATATTTCAAGCAACCCTAATGAATATCATGCTTTTTTAGAATGATGGTTGGTAACTGTTCACTGATCCACTTTTTTTTTTTTTTTTTTTTTTTTTTACATCCTTCCAGTTAAACTAGTATCACTCACTTAGAGTCCAGAAAGCATATAAGGCTGCGTAAAGAGCAGTCAGGTTTGGCTGGGCCGCCTTATTCCACAGGCAGGTGAGAGAGGGTTTGTCTGTCTGTGGAATCAGTCCACAGGCATGCAACATTTCAGCAATCATGTTCTTTTCTTCTTCTGTCAGAGAGCCGGCCAGGCTGAAGATGCTTTCTTCGTCATCGGAAAGAATCCACTCCATGATGCCATCCATCTTTGGGGGGGGAGGAGAAGGAAGTGTGAAATAAAGGGTAAGGGAAGACAGTAAAAATGACTAGAAAAGGCAAATGAAAAACCTGTGATGTCGGTGCATAAGCCGGTGCATCAGCTTACTGACCTAAAGCTGCTTGGCTGGTTTGGAGCATAGGCACGCGCAGAGCGTGTGCCAGGTGTGCCCAGGCACACCCTAATGTCACAAAAAAAGTGGCTTTGTGTTTTAATTTAATCCTATGACATGCTCTTTTAAATAAAATTTAGTTGTTAATTTAAAAAAAATAAGTTTAGTTAAGGTTTAGTTTCTTTAGTTTGTTTGATGAATAAAAATAATGTCCTTTATGATTGAGTATTCAATAAATGTTCGCCATTAAACAAAATAAAAAACAAAATTCCCTGGGTGCACACCCTAATGAAATGTGCTGCACATGCCTATGGTTTGGAGGCTGTAATTGTATGAAATATGCAGAGAAAAGAGAGCAGAAGCAGTTATAGTGACCTTTAGGGAGCAACGGGCCGCAGTTTTCAAAAATGATTAGTGATTTTTGAGTGCCCGGTTTTAAATCCCTCAGGCTACGTCTATACTGCAGGCTTCTTGCATAAGAAGCTTTTTGCAGAAGAGATCTTCTGCAAAAACTTCTTTGCGATGCGCTTTTGCGCAAGGGAGCATCCAGAATGCATGGACGCTCTCTCAAAAGAAAGTGCTGATTGCTATTCACAGAATAGCCACCAGCGCACCTGTGCTTTTTTCGATTGGCTCTTTTTGCGCAAAAAACCTCTGTTGCCCGTCCATACACACCTTTTTGCACAAGAACTCTTGTGCAAAAAGGAGTTATTCCTCGTAGAAAGAGGAATACCTACACTGCAAAAAAAAACCTGTTCTTTTTATTTACTGTAAATGTACTTGTGCAAAAACATGCTTGAGGTGTGGATGCTCTGCGGGTTTTTGCACAAAAACCCTGTAGTGTAGAAATAGCCTTAGGGCACACCTACAATGCAGGGCAAAACTCAATTAAGCTACACAACTTCAGCTACATCAATTGTGTAGCTGAAGTTGAACTAGCTGAATTTGACTTTTGGCGCTGTCTACACAGCAGGAAGTCAAAGGAAGAACACTCTTCCTTCAACTTCCCTTACTCCTTGTGAAATGAGGGTTACAGGAGTTGGAGTAAGAAGTCTTCCAGCTCACCATTATTTTGAAAAAATGGCTTGCTGTGTGGACATTCTCTTTGTTATTTCGTAATTACGTCAGTTATTCCAAAATAACACTGCTTTGTAGATGTACCCCTAGAGGGCTTGGTTTTCTGAGGGTGAGTACTTGGCACTTTCTGAAAATTGGGACCATTTACGATGTTTCAGGCTGAGCAACCAAAAGCACTAGTTGCTTTTGGAAATCTATCAAATCTCTTGGACAACATTCACTAGAATATTGGTTTTCGTGAAAAGTATGTGAGAATTCCTTTAGCTAAAGGCATGCAATGTAAAGTGTCATTTCATACATAACCGTATTTTTTTCCCCTAGTGAGTCCAATTTTTTTCCTTTTGTCAGACCTGAGGAAATGCTGCACTCCTTACATACATTTCAGTAGGAGGTTTATCTGACTAAGGATGGTAAGACTTCCCTCGTGCAGGTATTATAGGACATACAAGCCCCTGCGACTGTAATAGTGCTGCATAAGGTGTAAGTCAGGACAGAATTTAGTGCTATGTTTTAATGGAACTGAATATTAACTCACAGTCTCCTAGTCCCATGGAGCATTGGCTGCATCTTAGTTAGCTTCTGAAGTTCGTGTGCAGACCCTTTTATCAGGAGTCCCCATACAATGTACAATATTAGTTCTCATCACCATTTCCTACAACACTTGATGGATTAGTGAAAGGTGCCACAGGATGTAAACTGCATTTTTAGGGAGCGCTGGAGAATATTCTAGCCTATTTAATACCGCTCTGGCACTGGGATACTGTACTCAGTTTAAAAGTTATCATAGATTTTTATTAGATTTCTAAGACAACTCTGTCCTCCTGTAATACCATCTCAGCTAGTTACTACAATATCAATGTATTATATCGGAGGACTAGCTCACTCTAATCATTATTATGGGTGTCTGTGGAGTTCAGTGATCTATTTTAAAATATTTTTGACAACTTTATATTTCCAGCTAACCTAAAAATGAGAAAGGTTCAGGGTTACTGGTTCTCAACCTTTCCCATACAGCAACCTCATATCACAACAGAAAAGTTTTAGGTTTCCCAACTAGCCATAAAGAACAGGAAGGTGGCGCTGCAAATCTTAATTCAACCTTCCCCTGTAGCGTAGACCTGGCTTTGGGCTTCTTCAAAAATCCCTCCCCTATACAATAGTGAACTGTGGAAAGAGTCAAGTTTCTACTAAGCAGGTAATTACACCACAAATAGCACCATCACATGGTCTCCTTCTGTCCAGTGTCAGCAGAAAGGCCAAAGACAGAATGGGTTATTTTTCCTAAGTTGGTACTTCCCAAAGCATAATTCATAGATTCATGGACAGGGGCGGATAAGGGTTTTGCGGGGACATTCTCTTTGTTATTTCGTAATTACGTCAGTTATTCCAAAATAACACTGCTTTGTAGATGTACCCCTAGAGGGCTTGGTTTTCTGAGGGTGAGTACTTGGCACTTTCTGAAAATTGGGACCATTTACGATGTTTCAGGCTGAGCAACCAAAAGCACTAGTTGCTTTTGGAAATCTATCTTCTAGTTTGACTTCTTGTGTAACACACGTCATAGAACTTCCCCCAAAATAGTTCCCAGAGCAGATCTTTTAGAAAACCGCAAATTGTGATTTAAAAATTGAGAGGGAGGGAGAATCTGCCATAACCTTGAGTAAGCTGTTCTAATGGGTAATTACTCCTTTGTTTCAAGTCTGAATTTGAACTTTCAGCTCCTGGACCATGTTAGACCTCTGTCTGCTTGATTGACAAGATGTTATTAAATATTTGTTCCCCATATACCACGTATGGGTTGTCATCAAGCCATTCTTTAACCTCTTTATTAAGATAAATTGATTGAGCTTCTTGAATCTCTAGCATCTTTTCTTTGAACCCTCCCCAATTTATCAACATCCTTGAATTGTGGACACCAGAACTGGACACTGTTCCAGCAGCTCACACCTGTACCAAATACAGAGAAAAAATAACCTCTCTATTCCTGCCCAAGATTCTGCTGTTTGTGCATCCATCTTAATATGGCGGCGGGGGGGCGCCCCCTCCAGCCTGCAGGCCAGTATTTGCCCACCCCTGTCTTAGCCCTTTTTTGTCATAGCATCACTCTGGGAGCTCATATGCAGCTGATTCCCCACCATGACCCATCAAATCATTTTTAGAGTCACTGCTTCCCAAGATATAATCCCCCACTCTGTATATTTGACCTCCTTTCTCGGTTCCTAGATGTACACAATTACATTTAGCCATACAGTCATATTGTGTGCTTGAGTCCAGCTTCCCAAACTCTGGATCAATGACCAGAATAATGGTGAGTCTGGAGTGTGGGGAAGGTTGTGGAGTCACTGTACTGTCTCCCTGTCCATCTAGCTACTTGGATCTTTGATATTTCTAAGGTGTGAACTTTCTGGGAATTAATTAAAAGTTTCAGCCTCCAGGGCTGTTTATCAGATGCTTTTTGCCAGCACTAAATTAACCCCAAGGAACACTAAACAGAAGCTAGCTGGCAGTCCTAGTGTGAAAGATGGTATCACAGGCAGCACTGATAAACATTTTCTAACCAAGCTAAGGACAGCCAACACGTTTATAGTCCGCTGCGTGTGCTACGCTTGCGCACACTAGGTATTTGCTCTTGTTCCCTTAAGTAACAAGCTCACTACAGATGTGCAGGCGCTCACTACAGATGTGAAGGAGCATAAATTGAGAATGTTCTCAGTCCATCACTTTTTACTGCAGATATGTCTGCAACAGAATAGTGGTGTATATAAGGAACCATCCCTAGCAGAAGATACATGGAGACAGATCTCAGAGTGGGTAGATTAAATCTTTTCCTTATACCTGAAATACTGTGACAGAGGCTACAATTAGCAAGAGTCTATAACCTGTACTGGAAAATATTGAGGGAAGAGATCTTTGAGCTCCAGTTACTGTTATTGGAGACGTAATGCGCCTTGAATTAGTCAGACAGATAGACGGATGATAGCAGCTGGTCACTGAATTACGAGCAAGTTACGTTCCAAACATCTGGTCGTAACTCGATTTGTTCATAAGTTGGAAATACATGCTTTTACATACAGCCGCACTGTTCGTAATTGCGGATGGTGTGTTTGTAAGACGGAGACCAGCTGTACTATCTTCTGGCTATCTGACACTGTTGTAAGATCTGGGAACAGGAAATGCCTGAGTTCATAGTGCCTTCCAAGCCATGATATAAACGTAGCAAGAGAGCGAGAGCGAGAGAGAGTATGTGTTTGGAAAGGAAAAAATGGAAGCAACTGGGTGTCATATAATTGTGACTTGGCTAACATTCATGGTAAACATTGCTGGTTGTCATTGGGGGTTGGGGGTACAGAGGAGTGTTTTAGTGGGGATGGAGGCAACGGTTTGGTGGATCCTGACCCATCATAGCTATGAGGGAAGAATTGGGCTTGTTTAGTTTAGAAAAGAGAAGACTGAGAGGGGACATGATAGCGGTTTTCAAGTACCTAAAAGTGTTACAAGGAGGAGGGAGAAAAATTGTTCTCCTGGCCTCTGAGGACAGGACAAGAAGCAATGGGGTTAAACTGCAGCAAGGGAGGTTTAGGTTGGACATTAGGAAAGATGTCCTTCCCTTGCAACAAACCCCATTGCCAGCTTTGTCCACATATTCATTCTGCTGATACCATTATTGGACCTAACCAAGTGAGTTATAAGATCAAGAACACATATTCCTGCGCATCCAGAAATATAATCTATGCTATCATGTGCCGAAAGTGTCCGTCTGCTATGTACATTGGACAAACATCTCAGACACTTCGCCAAAGGATTAATGCCCACAAAACAGATATCAGACAAGATCACAAAGAGAAAACAGTTTCTTGCCACTTTAACCAGAAAGGACACTCTCTAAATGACTTAGCCACCTGCATTCTGCTACAAAGACCTTTTACATCTGCACTTGAAAGGGAATCCTCTGAACTGTCATTTATGTTAAAATTCGACACTTGCCAACAAGGACTTAACAAGACTTTGAACTTTCTCACCCATTACCAAGACAGTTTCCCCAATTATCACCTGTAATACCATTAACTCACAAACATCCCACTCTCCCTACCTTTAATATCAGCAATTCACAGACACTTACCTTCCTTCCTCCCCCTTCCCACCCCCCCGCATCCCCCTTCTGTTCTGCAATGTGATTTGTCCTTTTCATATTTGTTCATTTTTTTAATTGTATCCTTTGGTATATATGGTTGTGACTACTTTCTTCCACTATTTGATCTGAGGAAGTGGGTCTGGCCCACGAAAGCTCATCATCTAATAAACCATCTTGTTAGTCTTTAAAGTGCTACATTGTCCTGCATTTTGCTTCAACTACCCCAGACTAACACGGCTACATTTCTATCACTATTCTACCTGTCAGGGTGGTTAAACACTGGAATAAGTTGCCTAGGGAGATTGTGGAATCTCCATCCCTGGAGATATTTAAGAGCAGGTTGGATAGACACCTGTCAAGGATGGTAGATGATGCTTGGTCCTGCTATGAAAGCAGGGGACTAGACACAATGACCTCTCAAGGTCTCTTCCAATTCTAGTGTTCTATGATTCTATAGTCGCAATCCACATCTTAGTCCATATTTTCCTGCAAGGATAAAGTGGAGAGGAAGGGCCTGACTTTCAATTGTTCAGTTCTCATTTTCAAAGGGGGCTGAGTTCATGGAAAATCTGGCAGCACAAAATGAACAATGGGACCTTTTTCTCACTAAAACAATTTACCCCCTGTAGGTATTTGATCGGCAGCTAAAAAAAATCTTCTAGATATTGCTCCATACACCAGGCAACTATGAGGACATAGGAAGAGCAGTCTAAATGGCTTGGTATGGTTGTTCTGCAGTTTATGTTGACTATAAAAGAAGCTCATATAACACCTTGGTGAATCTCACAAGTACCATGCCTGCCAAGTGTCACACTGCCGGCTCTCTTGAGCTGTATTAATCAGCATTATTGCAGTGTTAACTGGTGAATCTTCAAAGATAAGACATGTGGGAGATTCTTACCAGCTCAAGCTGCTTGGCCACCATGTTCTTCTCCAGGCAGGTCCTAAGCAGGGGCAGCACTCCAAAATCCAGATCTATGAAAATTAAATCAGAACCTCAGGGAGAGTCAGCAAAAAAAAAAAAAGCTCTGCATGGAATACTTTAGAGAGGAGCTAGTATCCCGGTTGGAAGTTCTGGGCACATGCTAAACATTCATTCATGTTATTCATGCTTTTAAAATGTATCTTCTTTTCTTGGTTGTTCTGGGCAGGGGGAAAACACCAAATTAACAGCTCTAGGGAGAGAGTCCTTTGTTGCTAGAGCAGGGAGAGCGCAAAGGACGACAGGGTGCAAGCTTTTTGCACAGCTCCCTGCTCAGTGTCCAATATCCATTCAGTTCTTGTTACGATTGAATGGCGGAGTGAGTGATGTAAATTCCACATACCCAGTCTCCTGAGCTATATTGGGCTAAGCCGAGTGTGGTGTAGTGTCAGTACCTTGCTGGTGGCTATGCTTGGGCAGTGGGTTGTGGAAGACCCCCCACTGGCGACTGTCTGTAAGCACTGCCCAGCAAGAGGGGCCTCAGGACAGTGGAAGTCTTGAGGTCTCTTCCAGTTGTATGATTTTATGAAAGCCAGCTGCTTCCAACCTATGAAAGCCTAGTTTCCTGGGATAAAGGTAGTCACTGCTCCCTGTAGAGTTGATACTTCTAGTTAGATTCCATGGCAGCCTATAGGATGGAGTTATTGCAAGATGGATTTGAATATCCTGCATGTGCTTTTGAGCATATCCCAGAAACTCAGCCAGATTTGTGTGCTATTTCAATATAGACAGTATATTTGAACAGCAGTAATATCAGTTGTCTGAAGGAATGAGAAGGAGAGGCATCTCAAGTTGGGTTCTCTCAAGTTCTCTGTAGGAGAGACAGTTCTGATTTTGAGTGGACAGAAGGCCAATAGAAATGCTACATCCCACACAAAAAAATCAAGCCTGAAAACCCAGATGAGCGGGTGGGTATATGGTTAGTTAGATCCAACACATGAAACTACAGAACTCTGTGTGGAAAGGCTAATTCTTCATGGGTCCGGACAGTCATTCATGCTTTCCCCCAAGTTTTTCAAGCAACTTTGGGGCTGCTTCTGCATTGATGGAAGTCTCCTTACCTTCTAAAGAAGAACACAGGAAGTGCACCGGTCGCCATAATGAATGGGCTTCTTCTCCCTCACCCTCATTAAAAACTCCTAAATTGTGAAGCAACTTTTCTATCTGAGGCTGGAGAGTTTCATCCAACGAGTCTAGCATTGAGGGCTTCGGTTGACCTCCTGCCAAGGAAAGCTCCAGCTGGTGATGAAAGGAAGAAGAGAAGATAGAGAAAAAAAAAAGAGGAAGGCTGTCAGTCAAAGCTGTGTGTCTCTGTGCCCCTGAAGGCTCCCAATTCAATCCACCAGCAAGACTGAGATGGTCACATTTTCAAAGAAACTGCCCTCTTCTTACACTCAGGCAGTCATCACAGGCAACAGGTGGTGTAAACTTCCCACAGTCAGGCTATGTCTAGACTGCAGGCTTCTTTCGAAAGATGCTCTTTCGAAAGATCGCGTCTAGACTGCAGGCGGATCTTTCGAAAGAAAAATCCGCTTTTTCGAAAGAGAGCACCCAGCGAGTCTGGATGCTCTCTTTCGAAGACTGCCTCTTTACATTGAAGAACGCCTTCCTTCGAAAGAGGAACTTTCGAAAGAAGGCGTTCTTCCTCGTGAAACGAGGTTTACCGCCATCGAAAGAAAAGCCGCGTTCTTTCGAAATAATTTCGAAAGAACGCGGCTTGAGTCTGGATGCAGGGGAAGTTTTTTCGGGAAAAGGCTACTTTTCCCGAAAAAAACCCCTGAGTCTGGACACGGCCTCAGTGTCTCCGCCAATGTGCCTCAAAACTGACCAGGAGAAGAAGACAGTTATCCCTCCAGGACCCTTTCCGTCCTTGACTTCTGCTCTGAGACTGACAAACGGTGCCCATTACGGGGATACGTGTCTGCTTAGCACTCAGCTGAGACCAGCGGGCAAATGGAAACACCTCTTAACTGGGTGAGGCGCAAACCGGTGACCTAAAGGTGAAAGGTTGCACTCTAATCCCTGGACCACCCAGCACCAAAGTGAATACCGTGGTTTAAAAAAATATTTCACCCTGATTCTCATTTTCATTCAGGCTCCTTTATGTTCCTTTAATTTACACCACCTTTAAGACATACGTATAGTGCCAGAGTGGCATGTAAAGCAATCTAAGTGCAAATGCAAACCAGGCTCTGTATTATAAACTCTTCCTTTGGTTGCCCACCACTGTTGTGTGGCCTGGTTTACACTAAAAAATGTTAGATTAATTTAACTATGTTGCTCAGGGCTGTGAAAAATGTTGCTCCTAACCCCCAGTGTAGGGGCAGCTAAGAATTTTTCCATTGACCTAGTTACCGCTTCTTTGATAGGTGGATTCACTAACTATGAGAACAGAAAAACTCCTTCTGTCCATCCAGGAAGTGTCTATGGTTCTACGGCAGCGCCGTGTCATCCTAGCAGCTGCTCAGCTGAAGTAACTGTCGTGTAGATATGCCCTTCGATGTTCCCTCCCAGCCTTCTCACCCCCGTTTGGGATTTTCCACGTAGCTGCATGATCTAGCCCAATGTTTCTCAACCAGTGGTACCAGTACCCTCAGGGGTACTTGAGAGAAGTCTGGGGAGGTACGTCTACACAACTGAAATTTGGAGCAAACTGAATTTTTGTTTTACATTTTACCGTGCTTTACTATTTTTGCACTTTTTAATACCCAAAAATTTCATCGCCCCCGCCGGCTAGGATTAAATTGTTTAAACAATTGTGTTGCAATGGTAGAAAAAAAATTGGTGTGTCTGAAAACTGTAGGTTCTGTGGGTACTTATACTTTTTTTAAGGGGGTACTTTATAAAAAAAGGTTGAGAAACACTGATCTAGCCCAGAGGTCCTCAAAATGTAGGGGGGTCCCCCCCGAGAAGGGTGCAAGAGGATCTTCCAAGATGGTGCAGTGGGACTGGACCAGCTCACCGGGGATGGGGAGGGAGCATCACCCAGCCCCTCTTCATGCTCAGGCCCCGCCCCTAGTTGTGTCCCCAACTCCTGACCTCACACCTGGCCCTGTCGTCAGCCTGTGTGCGGCCCCGCTCTCACCTTGCACCAGCCTTGGCCTCAGCACTATGGCTGGGAGCAGAGCCAGACCTGGCCATGGACTGGGCTGCCGGCCCCCACCAAAGCTTGGCTGCATCTCTGCTCCTGTCCCCTCCTCCTACCTTGGTTCCGCTCCCGATCCACCCCCCAGCTGCGGCCCTAACCTCAGCCGCAGCGTCCCTGCTCCTGGCACCAGAGGGGTGCAGACAGGGCTATGGAGGAGAACAACCATCAGAAGTTTGAGGTCTGCTGATCACGCTCATAGCTCTGTTCCGTCTGTGGTGGGCTACAAAGCTCTGTAGTGGTCAAGGAGTTGGAGTGATGAATGTATCTCTAATCTCTATTTAAGTGGCACTTTGCACACACCCATTTCACACAGGCACTCATCAATGTGTGGGTTGACTTAATATGAACGTGTAAAACGAGCACATACCGCCGTTTTAGCAGTCGATATCAGGTCACCATCCTGCAGCAGGCTCTCAAACGTTCCCAGCAGTCTGCTCCTGAAATCCTGGCTCAGATACCTCAGCTGCTCACATTCTTTGGTGACTGTGCCCTTCACATTTTGAAATGCTGATGGTGGTAAAAAGCAACATGTCTAGCCAACCCCTTCATCTCACGAGTCAATAAGCAATGCTACCGAGTCTGACTGGGGGGTGGTGCATGCAGACATGAACGTGGGCTAGCGATAATGTAACGCCGACAGGCGGAACCGAACTGGGGACTTTTGGAGCTTAGTGTGAGCTAAACGCCAGCTGGCTCCCAGCTAAGGCTGTAGAGCAGACTCATTCTTCTCTTTGTAAGTGGTCTCAGTGCCAGGGCAGGCATGTGGGTCACATTCAGGCAACAGAGGGGAGTCGAGCAATGATATTGTCATTGAAGTGATATTGACCTATTTGGGAGGGCGGAGGGGAATAAAACTAAAAGCAAAACACAGTGAAATAAAAATAACTGAGTGTGACGGGGCAGCGCCCGCGCCCCACATGAGCCCGGTGCCGTTCC